ACTTTTTTGTCGTTTTGGGCGTTTTCAGTGTAAAAATTGAAAACGCGGGAAACACCCCTTTTTTTTTTTTTTTTTTTTGAGGAGGTGATGTGGTGATTCTCAAAATTTCAAAAAAAATTAAAAATTAAAAATTAAATTTTTTTATTTATCAATTTATTTATTTTTTTTTTTGAGGTGGTGTTGTGGTGATTCTCAAAATTTCGAAAAAAAAAATTCATTTTTTTTTTGTTTTGAGAAACTAACAAAAAGAACACATTTTCAACAATTTCAAAACAAACACTCAAAATACAAAATTCAAAATGAATTCAAAACTTAAAACACAAAACTGAAACACAAAGAAAACACCCCCTTAATGTTCGTATAGAAGTGATTTATTAATTTTTCCTTCTTAAAAGCATTTTATTTACATTAGTTTCAATTTTTTTTTTTAAATTGTAAAATTGACTTATTGTAGGAAGTATTAAGTAAATTTAATAGTTCATAATTTTAGATGTTTGCTAGGTATTATTTTAATTTTAAATTATCTTTAGAATAATAAAAATTTTAAAATAATATTAATAGTAAGAAAACATTTTTTTTTACACCTAAACTCGTAAAACTTGAAGCTTAACTTTCGTGCATTGTTTTGAACAAATGTATAAAAAAATATTTTGATCGACAGGAAAAAAAGTATAGATCCAGATATTTTTAAAAATAATATAAAAACACGATGCCAACTTTGAAAAAAAATAAAAATGATTCATAAATAAATAACTTTTATATCTATTTTTATTAAAAGCAGCATTGCAATCTAAATAAGAAAAAAAAAATTATTTAATATAACAATATCAAAGATAGTATGAAGAAGAAGGATAAAATTGGAAATACATATTTATTTTTTTGGCTTATTTGGTTCTAGTTATAGCATGATATTCTGGAGTTGTACATAAAGATTTGCACTGTGATACTTAAATTAGACATGAATTTGTATGCAATAAATAAAAGTATAAAGATAATGAATATATCTTGTGTTAAAGATTTCATATGCGCTCGAGAGCCGGGTTCAGATTCATTTGTGTTGAGCTTGACTATTCATTTTAGTAGAGAACTTTCAGTCTTGTTGAGTATACTGAATTCATTCTTTATCTTCTAGGCACGATGTTTACCTTCTAGCTTTATCGTGCTTGATCTTGTCTCATTCCTCTTTAAACATGTGAATTCCAGAGCCAAATCCTTTAACATCCAAGTTGAGACATGTCATATGGGCTGACGATCTGATTTGTTATTTGCGTTTCTTGAGTTCCCTATTTTTCCCTGAAATTCTTGTTGCATAATTTTAGGATATAACAAGTGTGTATAAAAACTTGTAATACTATTTAATTCAAACTCATTATAACTGTTATCTATAAACAATTTGCTTTTTTGGCCCCAGGACACATCTCCAAATGGTAAAAAGGGAGAGTTGAGAAATCCAACTTTTCTTGAGGCTGCCGTGTCAAGAGTTCGAATCCTGAAATATGGATTTGGCTCTTGGATAAGTGCAAGTGTACAAGCAGCCTTTCACCCTGTACTCTTGAAGACATAACCTGTGATTTGCCTTCCTCACGATGTTTTAGGGTAAGAGCGATGGAGGACCCTTAAGGTTGGGGTTCAACCTTTATAAACAATTTGCTTTACTTGACAAAAGAATCGGCCTTAAGAGGCAGGTGACTAAAGCAGTGACATCACCGGCACATTTTCTGGCTCATAGTGTCAATCATTCTTCAGTCTCCTATTTCTGGGGTAAATCTCACTAGCGGTTGCTGAACTTTCAGAAAAAGCAAATTGGTCACTAAACTTTAGACCCTGTCTGGGATCCTTTTTGGGAAACTGTATTTGGAATATTAATTTTTTTAAGAATGTGTGGTTAGGAAAGGAAGAGGAAAAATTCAATTTACGTGTAATATTATTTTATCGAAAAATGCGTAGTTAAAAGATGATTAAAAATGTATTAAAATTATAATGTAACTCTAATAGGGACTTCATATGTCTCAATTGGGTAATAACTTCAATTTATTTTATCACTATGGCGGGGCTCCCTAACCTTTTACAAGCTATGTTTTTGGGTCCCCAACTTTCGAAATTAGGGTGTTGAATCTCCAACACAATTAAATTGGAAAATTTGAGTTTTCTAGTCACAAAAATCAATTTTTTAAAACTGGCTAGGTGATTGAGCCAGAAAAATTAAAGGGTCAAGAGTCAAACTGTCAAACCAAAGTCGAACCACAAATTAAAATAATGAAATTAAATGAATCAGTTTACATCATTGAAAATGTATGTTAATTTAAAAAGTATTTCAAAAGTTATTATTAATTATTTCATTCTAAGTAATATAACTTAATGACTATATGGGCCCAAACAATTACAACTTAAGTGCCCATACTCAAAAATAAAAAAATAAAAAAATAAACTATCATCGATAAAGGAGGTCAACATTCAACTCCTCAACTAGGCTTATCAACGAGCCGAGTCGAGTTGGACTCAACTCAAGTAAAATGGTCATAGTTTTTTTGCGAGCTCGAGCAGATCCAAGCTTTTGTCAGGTCAAGAAATCTAGGCTTGGCTCAATGTCATTTTTTTTTCTTTTTAACTTCATGACAATTCTAACATATATTTTTTTAAGGATTTTAAAATTTTACAATTTTTACGAATTATAAATTAAGAGGGTGCTTGAGGGCCCTTTTTATGTAAAAATATATTTTAGAATAGTAAATTGATGGGAAATGTGTGGTTAAAAAATAAGAATTTTTTTAAATTTACTTGTAATATTATTTTAATAAATAATGTGTGGTTGAAAAAACGATAGAGAAATACATTTTGAAAAAATTGGTACCAAAGGGGGCATAAATAAAAGTTGCAATCCTCCCCCTCTTTCTAGGCTTGGAATATGCTACAATCAATATAGGCGGAGTTAAACTTGTACATAAATAAAATATTTCGTATACAATTTTTTTCGAGACAAATAAATTTAAAAATTATGCATTTTTTAAAATTAATTACAAAAAAATTGATGTGAAACTGAAAAATTTAACCCATATTTATAACCAAAAAAATCAAACCATCTATTGAATTTCTGCAGTCAAATTGATGCCTTTTTAAGGCAGCTATAAAGCGCCTTAACCGGCAGCTACGTGCTGCTGGCTAAGGCAGCTGTCTTAGCGACAGCAAATCTGTTGCCATTTTAAATTTTAATTTTTTTTTAACTTATTTTGGCTCAAGGCGGCCCCGGCTCAAGTCGATGCCCAAAAATGGGGCCCTCCCTAAGTCTCGGCTGAATCTTCTCGAGCCACATGCCCGATCGATTCGGGCTTTTCTCGGGTCAAGCCATGAGCTGCCTCGAGCTGACAAGCACAATTTACATCTCTATCCTCAACTCTTAATCTCTTACACTCCACTTCATTCATATTTCACGCCGCCTAATATTTCTTATTTTCAGTAATAAAATTTTGGATTTGCATTGAAAAGATGTGCATCAGAGTTTAGCTCCAGCGATCCTTACCAATGAAATCAATGAATCACTAGATGGCTGTTTTTTTTATATTCTTGACAATTTTCTTAATTTTTTATTGAAAAAAACTTGATGAAGCCGGTAAAATGGTACATGGGTCACTCGGAAAACTAGTTGAACCATCCTATTTACCAGGCTTTATATCGATTGTCAACTATTAGGCTTTTACTCTCCAATCAGATCAAATTTTGGTCCAATTCCCGATTTTTCGATCAAACTGGCTGATTCGGACCGGTTTTCACAACACTGAAAAAAAATCATCAATATCAACATTAAAATCTCATGCGACTTTCACGTTACTTTTTGCTAAATGGTAGAACCACAAAGCCACGTATTATTTATATTTGGTACAATTGAAAGTTATTCGCAATTTTAACTTCTAATTTGACAATTTTGATCTTGTGACGGCCCAATTTTGAAATAATTCAGAAACTTAAAACCTCAATTTTGAAGGTTGAAAACCATAACCACATCAAGTGAAAAGTTGAAAAACTCAACCCTAATTTGCATTTTCAAACTTAGCCCCTGTTTTTGTCACTTTTTTTCTTCAAAGTTCTTTTTTTTTAAAAAAAAAAAAAAAACTCATTTTTAACTACACTTTCTTTAATAAAATAAATTTACACTTAAATCCAAATCTTTTCCTTATCTTTTATCCACTCATATTCCAAAAAATCACTATTTTAAAATATAGTTCCCCCAAAAAAATGGGGTTTAAACAAGGGTTTCGTCACTTGGTTTCATCTATTAACTGTCGTTCCCTAAACTAACATAAATCACTTAGTTAATTGTAAGTAATTGATTTATCGCATAAGTAACTCCTAGAAATAAAATTGGTGAAAAAAAGATTTATGCCAATTAGATTAAGCTCTGTTTGGACTCCATTTTTTCAAAACTCATTTTCAATTATCAAATATGGGCTAAAAGGTTAATGAGTATTTTTTTATAATATTTTTATGATATAATATAGAACAAAGTTGGCATACCACGTAGCAAATATGTGGAACAATTGTTGTGGTATAATGTTTAATTAAGTAGTTTTTATCAATCTAAAAGACAGAAAAATAACAAAATGATTTGAAACTAAATTGATCGATTGTCATCGAATCAAGATAAATTAAAATTTAGTAGCACAAAGATGTCCCTATTTTAAACTTCATTTTTGAAAATTATTTGTGGAAGTGGAGATCATATGATTACAAAGTAGAAAAAATTGAGTTTATGTGTAAAATTATTTTATTCGAAGACGTACAATCAAAAATAAATTTTATAAAAGGACTCAAAGAAGCAAGGGCTGAGATTTTACTAAAAGTTCAATAATTGCAAAGGAAACCCTATACTATTCCTCCAAATCGTTGGCTGCGGTCAGCATGCCCATAATGTTCTTGTCCCCCAAGCAAATAGACCTCTCAAAACCCACCCAGGCCGCCCCCTCCCACTCCCCGCGGCGGCACAACAGAATATGAATTATGAAATACAATGGCCCACATATTTACATGCAAATCCCAGGTATAAATATAGACACAAAAGCTGCATTTCTTTGTTTCAAAGCATCTTTCGAGAGTTGGGGAAACTGAACTCAACTGTGAAAAGTTTAAAGAACTTGTAGTGTAAATGAAAGGTGGTGGCGATAAAAATCATCAGAACTTGGAATTGCCGGCCGGTTTCAGGTTTCATCCGACAGATGAAGAGCTGGTGGTGCATTACCTGTGCCGGAAATGTGCAGGGCAGCCTCTTGATGCTCCGATTATAGCTGAGATTGATCTCTACAAGTTTAACCCTTGGGACCTTCCAGGTTACTTTTTAGTTTATAATGTTACACAATCGTTTTTTTCCCTGGGTTTTTTATTTTTATTTTTTTCTGGGTTGTGCTGTAAATTCTCAGTTAAAAGTGGATCAGCTGTAATTTTCTCATTCTTGGGTTAATTGTTGTCACGGTTGTGTGTATAATTCACCTTTAAAATCGACTTGTAAAGAAACGGTGTTCAGTCAAGTAGTTATGAGTTCACAAGTAAAGTAGTCATGATTGATTTTTCATGAAGTTTTTGATTTTGAAACGATTTGAAATGGCCTGAGAAAAGTTGATTCATTTCTCAATTAATGTTTGATTTTACAGGCATGGCGCTGCACGGTGAAAAGGAATGGTACTTCTTTTCTCCAAGAGACCGGAAATACCCGAATGGTTCCCGGCCGAACAGGGCCGCAGGAAAGGGATATTGGAAGGCCACTGGAGCAGATAAGCCTTTGGGAAAGCCGAAGTCACTGGGAGTAAAGAAGGCTCTGGTTTTTTATGCCGGAAAACCTCCTAAAGGAGTCAAAACCAATTGGATTATGCATGAATACCGCTTAGCTAATGTCGACAGATCTGGGACCAAAAAGAACAATTTGAGGGTACGTACAAGAACAAGATTTTAACTTATTTTTTCCCTTAGTACAGTTGAGTCAATAATATATTCTGTATTTTTTCCTCATTCAGCTTGATGATTGGGTATTGTGTCGACTATATAACAAGAAACGTACTATTGAAAAGCATTACAACGTAGATCAGAAGATACTGGAGTTTACAAATATCAAAGAACAAAATCCGGAAATAGGCACATGCCCGTATAATGGAATGGTGAACCCGGTGGCACCACCGGTTCAAGAATCACAATCCATGATCGACTCATTACAAACGACGAAGGATTATCTATATTTCGACACATCCGAGTCAGTAACCAAGTTGCATACCGATTCGAGTAGTTCCTACCACCACGTATTATTGCCGGAGTTCACGTGCGATAAGGAGGTCGAAAGTGCGCCGAAATGGAGCGATTTCGAGAAATCCCTCAATTATCAGCTTAATTATGCGGATGGTTTTCAAGATTATGATTTTGCTTCACAAGTGCAATATGTAGACCAGCTCTCTCTGTTTCAAGACATGCTCATGTACATGCAAAAAACCTCTGATTGAGGGATCAAATTTATTTGAGTTTGTCCTTGAAATTAATAGTATTATGTGCAATTATAAGCCATGTAATCCAAAACCTTGATTAATCTCTGTCCCCTCCTAAAGAAAAGAAATGAAGGATCATTTAAAAAGTTAAAAAGTGGTATTATTTTACTTAAGTTCAACACCTTTGAACAAGTAGTACTAGTCAAATTTGACGGGTGCGTGGTTGGCGTGACAGGAAGAGAACCATTGATAGAGATTAGGAGCATGTTTGGTTTGAATTTAAATATAATTTTAATTTAAATCAATGTCAAATAGTCAATATTAATCATATTTTTCATGGGTCCACAACTTTTCAATCGCGCATTTTAAAATTTTTTTATCACAATTTATTAAAAAATCTAATTTTAATATCCACCAAACATCATCTAGAATTAAAAAAAAAATAGAGTTTTGCTTATACATTAGGGTTGTACACCCCGATCTACGTGATGGGGTCCACGATTTTATTTATTATTATTTTTTATGGGATGTAAGTTCCTATTGTGAGGGAGCTGTATACCAAAGTTAACACACTGGTGAACAAGAAGCAAAACACTAAAAAATATGTATCGCACATTCATCTAAGCGTTAAAATCTCGTTATTTCAATTTTGATGGTCCTCGAGAAAAGCGTAGTGATGAATAATTAAGAATCAGACAGAATAAGTCCAGTTCAGAGACAAATCAATAGGAAATGCTATTTGCTTTCTACGATATGTAGATTTTCGAAAATGGATTTTGTGGAAAAACTTATTATTTATTTTAAGAATTTTTTATCAAAAAGTAGGAAAATTATAGATTCGCATAAAAAAATTATTTTATTGGAAGAATATGTGATTAAAATAAATTTGGAGAAAAAAATGAATTTTAAATAATTTATACAAAACAGGGGCTAATAATGGTTTTGGAAAATAAAATAAATACTGGAATTGATTCAAATGATTAGAATTTCTACAAAAATACAAATCAATGTTCTCCGCAGGATATGGATCATGGCTAAGCAATTAAAATTTATTCAATTAGGGAGACTACTGCTTCTCTTGATTGGATTGATTTGGAAGAAATTGGTGATCCGTCGAGAATACCAGACAGAGACAATGTGAGATAAATGTTACTTTAATGTAATTAGATAAACATTTCTTATTGGATAAATAATAAGGTTTTACTTACTTTTAAGAAAGTGACATGCATTATTTTGGAAAAAATAAATAAATAAATGCCGAAGTTACAGTGACAATAGATTAATAAATCATAAAGGTTAAGAACCAACTTAATCTCTCTATTAAATGATATATTTCGAGAAGAAAGTTGAACATATCATTTTTTTTAATGTCTTTGATTAATAAATCATAATTTTTTCAGAAGAAGCATATCACAAATTCACAATCCTATTGTATCTTTGAAATCATTTAATGACTATTTGATTGTTCTATAAATCATGCCTGTCATGTTTAAGTTAAACAGTTTCTTTTGTTGGGACCGATGAAGACAATGCAAGAATTAAGATTTGATGAACTCAATATGAAGTATAAATAAAGATCACAAAATAACCAAGAACAAGATTAAAGTAAAAGATGCAAAATAAAAGGGAACTGGCAGAGGAACGACGTTATTTTATTCAATCACTATGAAAGGAGAAAGTTACAGCAATTGGCTTAAACTAAACTAAAAGAGGAGCCACGTATTTATAGTACACGAGTCAAACGCTAAAACTAGGAAAGAAATATAAAATTGGGAAAAAATCTCGTAAAGAAAATCACGTAAAAGAAAAAGACGTGTCACGTTTCTGACAATTTTCTTTCCTTTCTTCACGGTTTCAAATTGTTTTCTTCCTAATCTTGGATTCCAATTGATTCTTTCCATATTTCTTGAATCCTATTAATTATTTCCTAAAATCATATGGCTCCAACAAGATTTCTTTCCAAAACCCAAGATTGCCAAATTCTTGCCAAATTTTGAGACACATATTTAACAATCTCCACCTTTGACTTGAAATTCCTGCGCAACGAACGATGCTCCAGATTTCTTCACCTTGAAAAATGATCCGCCTGCATCAGAATAACCAAGCTCCTCAACACAGTAATCAAACTCTCCACGAAAACAGGTTCCCTCACCCGGTGTCCACATATGACACCTGAACCCAAACCCGGTTTCCCAAAATTCCACCTGGAATTAATAATCACTAGATAGGGTCGAAGCACACCCTGTAACAGAAACCACATCAAATGCACAATCAGAAGGCCCCTTGCTAGAACTGTCACCTTCAACGATCCCTAAGGCATTACAGACATTATTGACACCGCTAAACCTATGCTCCATGAGTCTACTAGCACAAGAACAAAGTGTATCTACTGAAATTGGTAGCAAAGCAAAATCACCAACACTCCCACGAGCAAAGTTCGAAACTGACCTAGAGCCTAACACAAGAGGTAATGTACCAAACTGAATTTCCACCACGGTACTAAACTTGTCCAAATGTCTCTGAACTGGTTCTGCGCTTCCCTGCAAAATGTACAACTGGAATCTCATCCGTCCCTCCAGTACAATCCAAACACTTCTCTGAACTTTCAGGACTCCATCTCCACCAGAAAATTTATACCCTTTTGCATCCAAGGTACTCAGTGATATGAGATTTTTTGTCAAGTCCGGAACATGGCGAATCTGATCAAGTGTCCTCACTGTCTCATCTTTTAGCCTCAATTTGACACGACTGATTCCTGCAACCCAACAAGATTGGTTGTTTCCCATGATAACTCCACCTTGCTTCAACGCCTCATACGTCTAGAATAACGCCCTATTAGGACATATATGATACGAACATGCAGAATCCAGAATCCACTCCTCAGGTTTGGATTCCCCATCAGATATAACCAACAGCACGTCTCCACCATCAGAAGAATTTTCAACTACATTGGTTTCGTCCGAATTACAAGATTGCCCCGAATGATTTGCATGTAAATTACCTTTACCTTGCAACTTGTCACAATATTTCTTGATATATATTTTCTTCTTGCAGCAATAACAATACACATTGCTGTACCTCACCTTCAATCTACCCCTCCGTCGATCACCATGAGTAACAAAAGCATCTCCATCCCTAGATGTAGGATCTCCAACCAACAGCTCCATCCTCTCCTTTGAGAACAAGGCTTCATATACCTCCTCAATGGTAAGCGTGTCACGACTATACAGAATTGTATCACGAAACAACGAAAAAGAACTAGGTAGCGAACACAACAAGATCAAGGCCAGATCCTTTTCATCATATTTTACCTCCAACGTCTCCAGATCTGCAAAGATTTCCTTGAATATAGCAAGATGGTCCTACAGTGACTCTCCTTCTGCCATGCGATGAGAATACAACTTGTGTTTTAGAGTCAGTTTGCTAGTCAGACTCTTTGTCATGCACAACTGCTCTAGCTTGAGGCACAAAGCAGCCGCTGTCTTCTCCTTCAAGATATCCTGAAGTATATTTTTGGAAAAATGAAGATGAATCAGTGATGTAGCCTTCTTATCCTTCCGTTCCTTCTCCTCCATAGACCAATTTGCTGGCATCTTCTCAAAACCCAGCAAAGCATCATCAAGTTCCATCTGCATCAACATAGCCCTCATCTTTACTTGCCATAGCGAAAACCTTGTATTGCGATCCAACAGCAGAATATCATACTTCATCGAAGCCATCTCTGAAAACCTCAATCAAATCACGAAGAACTTGCAACCTTACTCTGACACCACTTGTTGGGACCGATGAAGACAACGCAAGATTAAGATTTGATGAACCCAATATGAAGTATAAATAAAGATCACAAAATAACCAAGAACAAGATTAAAGTAAAAGATGCAAAATAAAAGGGAACTGACAAATGAACGATGTTATTTTATTTAATCACTATGAAAGGAGAGAATTATAGCAATTGGCTTAAACTCAATTGAAAGAGGAGCTACGTATTTATAGTACACAAGTCAAACACTAAAACTAGGAAAAAATATAAAATTAGGAAAAACTCACGTAAAAGAAAAAGACGTGTCATGTGTCCGACAATTTTCTTTCCTTTCTTCACGGTTTCAAATTGTTTCCTTCCTAATCTTGGATTCCAATTGATTCTTTCCATATTTCTTGAATCCTATTGATTATTTCCTAAAATCATATGGCTCCAACAAGATTTCTTTCCAAAACCCAAGATTGCCAAAGTCTTGCCAAATTTCAAGACACATTTAACAATCTTTCTTTAAACCAATCAAATATTTTTTTACATAATTAATTCTCTTCATGTTACTGGCTATAACTATTATATATATATTATTTTTTTTTTAAATTTTTTGCGTGGGTTACTAAAATATTCAATATGGTTATAATGAAGATGAGGTATGAGTCTCTCGGGATAGTAGGTGAATAATAATTGTGAACGATGATTATATTTAATGTTTGAATTTGACATAAAATTTTAAACAAATTATAATGCACCACTAGATATATATTTCTCATAAATTACTTTGTTTCTCACAAACGGCTAAATCTCAAATTTCCAATATGATTTTCTTTGCCCTTCTCTTCGTACTTAAACTGTCACTCTCTAACAACTTAAATTTTTAGATGAGATGATTCAACACAAGATAAATATTACATACTTCACTCTATATATTCATAAAATGATCTATTTCTTACCCTTTTTCCCCCTTTTCTTGTTGTATGCAGAACTGCAAATGACAGAAGCTCAACCACTTTGTGAAGTGCCGATCTCAACAACCATTGCCTTTGGAGGGTACTTTTGGAGGAGCTTGTAAATTTCAGGGATCACAAGTGATTTGCCAATGTACAACTTTATGCTTGTGAACTAAAATTCTTAAATCATTAATCTCATTGTGTCTTCTTATATAAATATAAAAGCAATTATTGCGTCTTTACCAAACAAGCGCTAAATGTTTGTGTAATGCCTATCTATCGATTAAGATTGTAGCAATATCTGTTTGTGTTATTAAATGCTATTTAATGTTCACCAAACATGCACTAAATGTTCTTTGAGTTTCTACCATTGCTTTGTAATACCATTTTCCATATTCATGCATCCCTGAACCGTATATTTTATATTTCACAAATTATGTTGACGAAATATGT